TCACGTTGTTTTTCTCATCTTTTGATTATCGCTTACTCCGCGTTTGTTCAATCTATCTCTCTCAGTTTTCTCCCAGATATTGGCATTATAATCTGCGGATGACCAGGAGCAAAGACGATGGATCTCAACAGCCAATCAGGTGAGTCATGTTCTTTCCACCAATGAGATGAGGGCAAACCTATATGGGACGTCTGAGACAAGGCTCGATGATTGTTTCAAATATGGTTTGGCTCTTCAGTGACAAAATCACCTCTATATTCTTGCTCTGTGGATTGGTATTACTCGTCCTTATGGCACAAAAGTGCTCATTCCCAGTTACAGTCGTGTTCTAGTTTCACGTATCTGTAGAAGTATAAAAATAGCTAAATTTGGCTATTATACGTTTACAATAGAACAGGTTGATTAATAATTTACACTAGGGTTGATAAACCCGTGACTTTCTGTGCATTTCATGAGCAAGTATGAGCCAAAAGTTCTCAATTAGGTTGAGACTTAGGCTGCAGTCTGGACTGTGCATTCCTTTGATCACGCGGGAAAACGACCAGTATTTTTATTGTATCGGCTGGGAATAAAACCACTTTCATGCTGGAATATGGTGTCATATGATATTTTACATGTCACAATTGGGAGTAAAATCTATTTTAATGTAAGAATATACGTAACAGAATATTAAACGCAGATAGGCCGACTTCATGGATGTCCGGGCTTGAGCCTATCTCACTTGACGGCGACCGTCCTGAGGAGCGTGAAGAATACGATTCTTGCAGATGGGAATTCATCTTTTGCCTGATCGCAGGGTACACTCATTAACCCTGAATGCTTAGAGCACGTGACATGCTTGGTTGCTTTGCTGTTAATTGCCAGCTGCTGAGTTTGTTCATGTTGAACAAAGGCCGCAATCATAGTGGTCTTCGATTCATTGGTATCTCGATCAATTATCTAACGCAGCCGATCTACGTGATTGATTAAGGGAAGATAATATTCTAAGGCAGAGATTTAGACCTCCGGGCTTGAATGAATATCGAAATAACATTATAAAGGTTGCCTCATTATCCAATCTATAGTTGGGTTGAACAACCAGACATATGACACTGTTGTCTGCCACACATGCAGCAAAGGAGAATTCCGAATTTTTTTCGGACGCCAACCGATGACATTTAAGAATGTTGGCATTGCGTCGCGTTCTGTAACAGATTGTGGGATTCTCTATATATCGAATAGAACAGGCAACGGAAAGCTGAAAAATCGGTTTTCAAAACTCTTTTCTGAATGCGAACATCTGTTTGACAGGCTGCGATGAAAACTTTCTTCACCTGATCGAAATAACGCTGTGAAACGATCGAGCGGATTTAAGGTGAACGTTGGTCTGCTACATCGATGATTGTTCTCTTTGTAGTTCATGGAAGTAACCATCTGCGTTTCCGAGTCCCGAACAGGGTACGCAGGAGTGATGTGTTCCTTGAAACTGTGTGAGTAGTTCTGTTTATCGGTAACGAGAATTTACATTTGGACTGTCAATATATATGCGTAGTTTTGCGTGGGTTAAATGGAATGAGCTCGTAAGCAAAGCTGAAGTAAACCGTGAAGTATTTGAGACTAATTCGGTGGAGAACTCATTATTACCTAGAATTCGGTCTAATGGACTTTGTTGGTTGATTGTACTTGTCCAGCTATCGTCTGTCACGCCACGTCTTTTATGCAGTTGCCCTTCCAGGTCAGACGAAGTCACGTGAAGGTGAACAGACCAAGTGGAAACAAGGAATAAAAATGCATTGAGCGGTCAGTAGAACAGATATCATTCACCTTAATGGTTGGGGTCCGAAAGACTCTGTAACTGGTTGGCTGCAAAAACTGAAGGATTTGACAGCTGGCCTTCGTCTTGTCACAAGTGGTCAGGTCAAAATGTTTAAAACAGCATGTCTGCAAATTAGGGTTATGTATTCTTTGTGTTGCTTCTCTCCAAGTTAGTCGACTCCATGTGAATCTGGTACATTCTCACTTCCTTTATGTACGTCGTGAACTTGACAACGATCAGCGAATTTCTCTTCATTGTATCTCGCTGTAAGATAATCATTATGATGATAATGACTCGATATTTGATCACATTTGAACACCTCTGACATTTTACAAACCCAGGTTATTCCTGGCCTCTTGCATCAAGCAGCCGGTATGGCGGGCATTGTCACCGGTTACTTACTTGAATCCGTTGCTCCTACAATTTTTAGCTCACGTTTAGAGCGTTTTTCTCGGAGTTGTCCGTGTTTTCCATTTACGTTTAATAAGAGCCAACAGCTTAGAGTTAAGTGTTCATTAAGGATAAGTGACAGGCTCTTTCACCCTTTGAGATCCAACAGATAATTTCGCCGGATGTGCCACGCGTTTCTGATAACTAATATTTATTTTACTCCCTCACTTTGGCCGTTGACTGAGAAAGTACCCTTTACTATAAGTAGGTCCTTCAGAATTCCTCACTATGGTCGGGGTGGGTGTCTAGGGTGGCGGCTGGTCACCCTTCCCTTACACCTCACGAAATTCTCCCATAAGACCAAGCGTCCCAAATAGCTTCTACTAAGGAAGCTCTATTCACTACCTTCTCGAGGCGGAAGTGTTTTTCCACCAAAGTGAGAGGATGAATAGTTGACAGCCGGGGCTATAACCGGGTTGATGGACCACTGGCAGCTCATCTAGGGAAGTTGGCAAAAACCCTGATTCCAAACAAACCAAGAGAAGGCGTAAGAACCATGCACACACCTTTGCGGATGTGGCAGTGGTCACCGTCTCAATTAGGCATTAAGATGAATTGAGAAGCTTGAACGTTTGAACCGTTTGAAGGGCGTATGATCCTATGAAATAGATACCGGCTCCCAAGGGATTGCGGTTTCCACACCGCCCCGCTGCTTTGCGGGTCAGGCTTTAGCTAATCGAAGGCTGCGGTGGTGGATCCCTAAAGAAAATTTACCCTCCTTCGACTGCACAACCTGGCAATATTCAGTCATTCGTGGAACGTCTTACTTTTTTTATAAAGATTAGTATACCATGATTTGTTTGGCACAGTCTGGCCTTAGACAAGTGTGAAATATAATAGAATATACCGTTTATTCTTAATTAGAAAGCTTTCTCTTTTTCTAACTTCATTCTAGTAAGAATTCTGTGTATTCGAAGCATTGGTAGTTCTTTCGTCGCTAAAGCAGACATTTTCCTACTATTGAGGTTTCTGTGTAACGTTTTTTCGAACTGTTAACACCGAAGAGTACTTTAATCATTGCAGTGAAACTTGATATTGGAAACAAGGTAAGATAGAAATCGAATCGAATGATTGTATCTCGGGTTGCGGATGTTGCCGTTGGTGTGTTCTCCGAGCTGGAATTTGCACTGATGATGCCGCCTAGCCTGGCTACGAAACGAATTGCGAATAACACTTTCAGTTAGGAGAACACCACGAACAACAACAAATTTATTTATTTTGAATTTGGTTTCATCAGTTTTCCTTCTGGACAATTCATTCACGTTTAAGGGGCGCAATTGCGTCATTTGCATCCCAGTTACGAAACTCATTAATTTGACGGTCTTTCCGGTGAGTCCGAATAGCAATAGGGAACATGAATCACCTGATTCCGGTTCCCCGGGTAGCGGACAGTCACAAACTGAATCCAATAGCTTGCTGCAGGCATATTCACCTATCTCGTTTTGTGAAACTTACCATTATAATGCACACCGGACTACGAATTCATAGAGTGAACTCAGGCCAATTGTGGATTGCTTCCTGCTCTGATTGGCAAACACGCATAATTTGGCACATCGTACTGAGCAGTTGGTTGTTGTAACGAAACATGGTTCCCATAACGAAATCAGGCGTGAGCTGAAAAGCTGGGAAACACTAATGGACAGCTGTATCCACTTGGTTAGGTCTCATCGGTATTGGGCGAATCCATCGACCCAACTGAGGATTGAACCAGACCGAGGCTAGTGCTGAGATGATCAAGGACTGATACTCGCAATAAATTAGCATATCGTGTATATTCGAAATACGGTTCCATCGGAATATACGAAAGTGACAACTGAGAGTAAACCTAAAATTTTGTTCCTCATGATATAGGACGACTTCGAACACATAGGGCATTACAGTCCATTTCTCACCTTCCCCCTATAACTCAATTATATATATATATATATGTGCCAATATGTGAGAACGGGAAGCGAACGCGTTATGCTGAACGTATGTTCATATACGTATATATAGATGTATATATATATATATATATTCATAGCCTGCAATTATCACCGTGGAAAAGACAAAGCCGAAGTGGAGAATAGGGAGAAGTAACAGAACGCAATATGGGTGAAAAAAATTGTCAAGCAACCGCATACAGCCGCGCAGATTCGGTACCGATAAAATTGTATACAATATACGCAACCTATCAGTCTGTGAATCACAACAAAATACAACACGATCACCGTCAGACTGAGTGAGGTCCGTAATGAAGAACAAACATGCGATTGCATATAAGCTCATTTACATGATATAGTCAATGTGCACACACACACACACACCAAACAAATAAACGATTTTCGATGTGAAGGAAATAGACAAAACATGACTGAGTTGGGTCATTTTAATGCGGATTCCGCAGATTACCTTTTCCATGCAAATAGCACGTGGTAGCGCAAGAAAAGAAAGCAACAACGCGGGAGCCGTTCTTGAAGTAGCCTAAGTTTTGCTGTGCATTCAGCATTCAGAATGTTTGAGCTCCTATTACATAATCGAATGAATTTGATTGAGAAAAAAGCCGTCTGTGTGAAAAACAAAACGGAAGGTCTACCTTCAAGCATCATTAGACACAAAACGGTATACTTCAATGAAGCACTATCGCGGATGAATAATTTGTTGGATTTCTAGGGTCTGTGCATCCGCCGGTTCTAGGGTTGTACAGAATGAATAGCTTCCCAATGGGGAAAGAAATGGCAATTTTTGTTAGTGATCACATTAGCTGAATGGCGCATCACTCAGAGTTTCCCATGAGATCGATAATTTCCTTTAGCCAAGGGTCCCGTAACTGTTCGCTCTCAATCATTTGCATCAGTGGTAGGAGCAATAGAGTTCGTGTCATTGAACGAATCAGGTACTTCTGTTGAAAGACTCTGGAGAAATAAGTGGAATCCACACGGCTGGATACAGGCATCATCGGGCCATCTACACTGGGACGAGAAGGTTTTCGAGGTGAATAACCGGAATTTATTCTCTGATTGGAGGTTTGTGAACTCTGAACGGTTGAACAGCAGTGACTTTTCAACATTTCTACAAACCGATGGTGCAATGAATAAACGTCGCTGGGTTTTGATAATGGGGTCCGATCTGAAACGAGTGAAAATATTTGGGTGATAATCGTTTAACTACCTGTGGGTAGTACAATTAGAAACGCCTAATACAATAGCTGTAATTAACGAAACTCAAACATTTTCGAAGAAAATGTGCCGTCAACTCACATTGAAATTATGAGAACGCTGTTCACTCCTGACGGAAGCATGCTTTCTAGTATCCGAATTTGCATGCACGACATCATTCAGTGGAAGCAGCAGTAAAGAGGTAACCTCACCATTTGCCTGACTACGGGCCATTTTCGAGACCCAACATCACAACTTAACATTCCCTAAATCTTTCTACCAAATGGCAGCCCCTAGTTTCACTCTTCCTAGAAACGAAGCGTACTTTAATCTTTTCAAATAATGGAATGATGAAAGATTTTACTCTGGCAATCAAGCTGTCAATAACGGCAGTAACAGTAATATTCACCTTTATTCACTAGTATGTTTCTCAAGTGATAAGTTCATCGACAGGGTAAAACCTTGAGTTGAACTACAGCCCATTGGGACCGGGGATGAACGAAGAGCACTTGAAAACGCAAACAACGTCTCACTGAAAGCTGAGGAGTTCACTCTCGTTTATCTTGAATACAGTGGAGAACTGTTGACAACATGTTGAAAATTGGTTCTCGTAGCTCGGGTGAACTGAATTCCATTTCACCTGTTTGACGAGTTTGGCAATTAGTTGGCAAACGTTTCATTAGCAGCCGAAGTGAAGCGGCCACTTCACAAGCACTGATGATGTCACCTTGGCTGGTGATGAAACGTTTGCAAACAAATTGCCAATCTCGGCGAACAGGTGAAATGCAATACAGTGGAGCACTGTTCTAAATGTAGTAATAAAACTGCTGGCCTGTGCTGTTTGACTGTAATCATTTAAAAACATTTGGTCACATGCAAAAATCTCAGGTACGCAGTGTAGAATAATAATTTCCTGAGGACATTTTTAAAAACTGATGCGCTTTTATCACATAGTTTCACTCACAGGAAGTGATTGCTGAATGCCGATTTTTCACTTGGTTATACAACTGCGACGTTTGCAGTAACCAAATCGACTTTGAATGGCTTAGTGACATAAATGATGCATTTTTTATTCCGTAATTTACCGCTTATCCTATTTTTAAATATGTTTTATTCCTTCCCCCTCCAGAAACTCTAGTCAAAATGTGAAATAGAAACACCCGATACAGTATCTCGAAACCATCAGCTTTGCTTTTGATTTCAAGGAGTTTTAGGGAATATGCATATATATATATATCATATACGGAATAAAACTATTGAACGCTTCAGAAAACATATACGCTGTCACACTTAAGCGTTCCTCAACGATATTCAGAGCATAGTTCGTTTGAATCGTGAGCACACTCAGTGTGCTGAACAATCCGCTAGCCATGTGACGACGGATCGGGAAATCGATTATCATTTTTTGATCATATTTCCTGAAAGTCAATGAATTTACCTCGGTTGTAATATGAGGTTTCCATCCACTCCTCACGAATACACCTGATAGTCTTACCGACCAGAAGGTATTCCCCCTCGATAACATTAACATTAGCTCTCCTAATAAGGCAGAAGCGGATGAATGTGTGAACAAGCCGCATGATTCTTCAACTGTCAAGCACTTATATATTATACGATCGAATTCCGAGAACAAGACACAACAAACACTAATGGCAGGGCACCAGGCCTCTCTATGAAAGTACGATTGGAGCTGGAAGCCGACGTTGATTCTATCAATGGCGCAATCAGATTCCAGTCATTCATCATTCTTCCTCGCTATTGCTCATAAAGCATGGGTAAATTAGAACAGTTTATGAGGTTTGCACTCATTCATTTTATCACAACACAATAGAATCACTCTAGTAACTTTTCTTGATGTGTTTTGCCCTGGAATGCTTCTCAGTATTCTGTTATGAATGCCGTTACCAAAGCTGTAATATTTTGATGACCCAAAAGCAATTGTTAGCTGTGACAACTGTCTTCGTAACGTCCGGAAAGACTTCATTTAAACCATTAGTTACCGACTCTGAAGTGTTTGAAGATGTTTTGTCAAAAAATGAAGTTTTCGCATATATTTGTGATATTCTTTGAGGTTCTTTCTTTTACATGCTTTGTACTGTGTCAATCCATTTCTTCGCTGATCAACCGATATCCACAATTGTGTTGGTAAACTGCGGCACCCATCACTTCAAATTAGGTAACTCAAACAGTTTCGTGCGTCCCAGTCAGTTATTTCTACCTTTGTATATCATTATATCTTCCCCATCTCACGTTATTCATCTACGATTACTTTTTCTAACTTGCTTCGACGAGATTTTAGGGTCTCCTGTGATTAACGCTCCCATTCCATAGTGCTTACTTTGAGAAAAATAGAATTCGTTCGGACTCTAACCGCCGATGGCACGTTAAATTGACTCGCTGTAATTCTCCTTCTTCCGTAAATCCTTAATTCGGTCAAAATTTATCGCATACAAAACGCTCACTGTAGTTCGTTTTTGCCTTACCTCGCACAGGTACTGACAACCAAAGGAAGGGGAACAAGTGAACCCGGTCTTTACTTTGGAATACGAGTTAATTGTCTTAGCTATTTGAACGCGTTTTTCCATGTGCAATAGGTTCACTGTGACGGTTGTCGAGTGCTACCTTTTCGGTAGCAATGTTTTCAGCTGAAGTGCCTGCAATAGTTGCCCAAACATCACAACAAATACAATAAAAATGTATATTCTGTCACGATTAGATTGAATTTAGTTGCTTGTCAAACCAGTCGGTGTGAACAACAACACTCACAGTTGATCGATTTGTAATTGACCAGAATCAGTGCAGCCAGACCGGCCACTGCGCTCCAGTCACCTTGTACCAGCGTGCGAATCTGCATCCCCGTTTCCCACAATTGTCTAGCCCAGCCTCCCACTCCGGCGTGATAGAGGTCTTCGTAGCGGAATAATTGACCGTTTTCGAGACGATAGACAGGCGTTGGACCAAGTGATGTTGGCTGGGCTGGGATCAGACTAGACTCCATCATCATCATCATCATCGGCGTGGTCACAGCCGTCGTCATTGTACCATTGTCTCTGTTTGCCCAGGTATTCACACACGACGGATAGACCTCTTCGCGTATATCAGTCAAAGTGAGACCCGGTAGCGCACTGTTGTTGTTGCGGTTGTTGCTGCTACTGCTGCTGCCGCTGCTCCTGTTTGTGTGAGCGCTTCCTTCCAAGTAAGACTGTGTCATTGCAAGGGAGGTGACCACGGAACTGTGGGCGTTATTCACTTTAGTATGGGTGCCTGGATCGGGATTTGGGGTGGAAGTGGGGGTGGTAGCGGCGTCGCTACTCGCCGAATTGAGATGGGGAGGATCTGTACAATACCTGAGGTTGGCGCCGCTGTTCTGTATGTCAGATTTCAACAGCTTCGAATTAGACGGTGGGTTCTCTTGTTTTAGTTCAGTGCACCTGAAAGGATGGCAAAAAGATGATTAAATGAGAAAACGATCTAATTACCTAAATCTAAGATTGAAAGGAAAAACCGGCTCCTGGACAAAATAACTAAATGGATGTCATAGATTATCTGATGGTCGGACGGAAGTGCATCTTCAAAATGTGTACTATACTAATTGCTGTATTGCTTAGTAAACACACAGACCACGGAGAAATTTGCAAAACCCTTTGGCATTGAAACCAATTTAAACAAACGGACGAGTTGAAGCCGGCTCACAACAAATCTAGGGTGCAAATCAGATTTGTTGTGATCCGTCTTTAAGTTTATTTCGAGCTAATCCCCCAAAAACGGAAAGCTAACCTTACCGGTCATTTGGTCATTTCGGTCACGAATGTATCGCTGTGATGCCAACAGAGCAAACGCGTCTGAACCGACCGCCAAACTGACCCATAGGAACACTCACACACATCAAGGTCACAGACTGACTATTGATTATCCGGAGAGAGAGAGAGAGAGAGAACGAATCACAGGCGTCCTAGGTTCTTGCTTGATTACGTTTACACACACACACACACACATACACACATTGCAGTGAACTCACTGCGATTCACTCTAACAACACATGTGACCTTCACATACCAGTAACCAGGGCTTACGTCCTCATCTGATTCTGGTGCCCAAGGAAATATGCAAGTAAATGCTCATCTTCGATCAACTGGTTAATCTTGGTTCATTGGCAGTGAATGTAAATTGTCAGTTGGAGGATGCAATCACGTGTTTTCTTTTGGTAAAAAAAGATTTTCACCAAGGTATATCTGCTGATCAATTGAGAATTTAAATGGGGGTAATTGCACGAATATAGACACAACCTGTTGCAGTGCACTTCTTTGAATACTTTCACCTGATTTCTGGTGAGCTGGAAACTTGTTGGTTTCTGTGCACAGACTGCCAAGTTCCCGTGTCCCGAATCAGAACCGACCTAGTACTTGGAGAGATTGTATATGGCCAAAATCAGACGATTTCCCCCCATACTAACTGGCAGAGATGAAGCCAGTTGAATGTTTTATGGTGATTTATGCTCCATGCGAACATCTCTCTCCATTTTTAGCGGGTATATTAATCGGGGAGATGAAATAGGAGAAGAAACTCGAACAGGGGCAGCAGATCGTGATAACATATTAGTGGTACTTCGGGTAATTATTGCATTGCCAGATTGATAAAAGCGTTTTTCTCTGCAACGTGTTGTATATTCCCTTTTCGTATTTTTCTTTGGCACCCAACGTTGGTTCCATATCCTTGTTAGGCTTGACAAATTGCCCATTGCCGCCAGTTGTCACCCGCCTAGTTTTGGACCCCATCTCTCTCTTCCCCCTATACCAACAAATTCTCATTCATCAAACCCTACTGGCTGGTGGTGGCTATTTCGTTCTCGTATTTTGACGAGCACCGGAAACAGTCAAACAGTCTTCCATTGATGCATGCCGGAACTATAGTTAGCTCCCTCAATCAGATCCCCGAGGGAAAAACCTCATATGTTTCTTCCACCGCCATGCACAAAGAAAGACGACAATACAATCGGGTGGGAGCGTGAGAAAGCACTGCGATTGCTGATGTCGGACTGATTACGGTAGCCACGTATCCCCCACCTCCACACACACACACACACCAAGAAGTAAACCACTACTATCGTATCATGGATCGACTTAAGTGTTCGCGCACTTTACAAACACTGGTAGTAGATGAAAGCGTTTGCGAAGCTTCAAGCTGCCAGCCGGACATGTATACGGGACAAGACAGTGGATAAGGTTAGGTAAAGTTAGAGAAAGAGAATTAAAGGGGTGAGTTCAAGTCTGCACGTGACTGTCTATGTGCAACTTTGTCTCGATGACATCTTGCCTGTTACCACAGTCAAGGCAAAACCTGCCTAGCGCCTATTTGCTTGATGTACCTCGCCGAATATATGATTACTTCTCCCACCAACTAACGCATGCTAAGGTTATCAGTTGAACTGATTATTCATTTTGTTTTTCATGTTGTTTCCTCGCATTGTTGGCTAATAATATCTTGTATTTAAGTTATGGGATTATTGGATGAATTTGGGGTAACTAATTAGCATTATGCAGGCAGAATCACCTGGCGAAAACGACATACATCCCAGTGATAAAACAGTAAAAGTTACAAGTGCGCGAAATGAGATAAATCGATGAGTAACATGGTACCATTGATGTCAGTGAGGAATGCAATCGCGACCGCCCAGACGACTAGGACGACGATGGGAAGAAAACACTCAACAGGTTGATTTGCGGATAGCATTTGAGAAGTTTTCAATGAAAAATTAACAGTAGACGAGAGAAACCATCCAAAGAGCGGGAATTTTTTTGCAGAAATTACCTGATATATCACTAATAGCGTTCACACCTCTGAGGGCGAATTCCGCCTATGGGGGCAAAGAAGAGTTCAAGTGGTGCAATTGAAAGGCACCGCATGTAGGCTACAAAGCACCGTGTTACGTCTTTCAGTCTCCTCATGTCGTCAAATCAGTCCGAATTTAAAAAGTGCTTGGTTCTACCAACGGCTTATTCAACACCGTGATTAATGAAAAGTTTTACATTTCACTGTTGCGACCACACACATGTACGCAGCAGTCTCCTTCCTCAGTTGCATTGAAACGCTGTCAGCTAAATCCAGTCTCAGATTCCCCTACCAGCTTTCTTACCAAATAATCAAATTTTACCCGTCTTTGATTTTACCTACAACTCTCCACATTGCAACCAAAAAATTCACCTTATTTTGCATTTTCCGGCATTTTTCCGATAACAAATTAGCCTCTAACGACATTCTTGGTGATGTAATCATAGTTAACCAACAATATTAGGAAATTCGTCTTGTATACAGCAACTAGAGCGTGAACTACCTGGCTGGGAAGCACTGGGTAGCTGTTTCAACCTGGTCGGGTCTCTTTTCGGTAGTTCGAATTCATCGATTCAATTGGGGATTGAATCCTGGTTCTCACAGGTAGAACGCGAACATACTACCCGAGGGAGCCGAACCGGGTCAGCTATCTAGTGCCTCATAGAACTTCATTTTCTCAGTACATGAAACTATTCATTATAAAGAGTGCTGAACAAGTAGAAACAGTACGCAACGGTATCTGTTAAACGGTGGGAGCTAAACAGACCACATCAACCAATTGTGCATCTGACAGCAGTATCGCTAATTCCAACTGTTTCCACAAACTGGGCTCATGCCTTCAAATCACGTTAGTTTGGACAAACTACTCATAATGTTCGCTGTTTGGCTTAAAGGGCTTTTTTGTTTTTATTCATACAGTGACTTAGAAGAAGTGGTTTTTGATAAGAAATTTCATTATGTCATGACAACAATTTCTTTAATATTTGGATTGAAATCCGAGTTGTTCTACTTGATATGTTCGTTGGAGTTTACCCCACTCCCCTAAATGTCAGTTGTTTTACTTTACTTTGACTACCGATGCTACCAATGAAGCTCAGTGAGTAAATTTACTCTTTGTGTTAAAATTATCATGGAAATGTTATTTTAGTCTGCTATTTTTCACCCCGGGACAACTCCTTCAGTGACTCAGCATTCACCATAGTCTAGAGCGCGGTTGTCTCAAATAAAAACGTAGGGCTCTAAACCAGAGCGACGGTGGCTAAGTGGTTAGGGTTATCAAATCAGTGACCTAGAAGTCCCGGGTTCAAACCCTTCTACCGCTGTCCGTCTTCCTATTTGTGTACTTTCTCAGACAGCCTTTACATGGCCCCGGCCCACCTCCTGAAAGTTGACTGTACATTTAGATGTTCAATAAATGCAAAAGGAAGTTAAAAGATATCATCTAATCAAAACCGTCTTGGCGACAGTTTTCTGTTCATGTGCTTCACTGTGTCCGAAATTAACAGCTTGTTTATCACATATCTGAGAAGAAGGGTTCATCACATATTATCAACTCTGCCAAAAATAACATGTGCTTCCGAGCTTTTCAGTTCACGCTTCATTTGCTATAAACACGACGAATTCCCATTTGAAATAACGTGTCATTTGCACCGTTAAATTTGAGTTTCATTCGTAGCCCTTAACTACAGGATATTTTCCTTGGTCCATTAGTGTTTAGGACATCTGCACTGGGTTGAATAAATAGTGTAAAGCACTGAGAAATTCTCTGACGTGTTTTGACTCAATAAACAGGCACTACGGTGCACCAATGCAGCTCAAGGACCAAATGACGCAACAAAAATGCCACGCCGTGACCTAAGAACGGACAGAAAACGCAATCAGAACGGATAGATAGCCTCCTCTCCTCCCGCCCTCAACCCCTCACACCAGTTCAAAGGCTAACCGAGTCGAACATAGTGAAAACGAGGGACAAAAATAGTTGGTGGAGAAGAGCACATCTATAAAGGAACGGGTACAAGCAGAACACTGCCAATTGACAAGCACTGATGATATCACCCCCGCCGGTGTGATGAAACGTTTGGAGACAAATTGCCAAGCTCGGCGAACAGACGAAATTAGATTCTTGAACTGTCAAATTTTAACAACAAAAAGCAACAATATTACAAATCGCTCACCTCAAGGCCAATCTCAGTGTCATCAGGTCCAGACAATGCAATTTCAATAAGACCTCACGATCAGATGCACTGAGGCCCATGAATCCGGGAACCATTTCAGCATAGCGCCGAATCTCCACCATGGACTCTTGCAGACTTGAGCACAATCGACTCAAATGGAATTGAGCGGATTTTGATGGACACTGGGGATGAGTTGAATGCATGCGTGCGTACGGGAGTGGAAGAGCAGTGGGAAACAGGTGGATAGAAAATAGAACCAATAAATCTTGTGACAAGTGGCTATGTTGAATAGTGACAGTTTCACATTGAATGCTAAATGGATAACTGTAAAATCCACGCTCTAGTTCCAGCAAGTGGCTTTTGATAATAAAATCTAGTGTTTTTCTTAGGAAGAAAACTATAGTAAAACAATAGTATCGTTTTCTGATGAAATTGTGAAAACTTCGAACTCACGCATGAACGCCACCTACGCTGTTGTACGCATGCATGAATGCATGCGTTCGAATCCCACCGAGGCTACTTAACATGTTAGAATTTCAGAATTCAAAATGCCAAACAAGAATTTGAACAAAATCGTTTTGTTTGGCTGTCGAGGGAAATATGAGCTCAAATTTCACACGTTTCATGTAACACATTAAGGATTATTACTATATGCAATCCGTGTGCTATCACTTTCGTTTTTCTTTTCTTTTTCACTTTACTTCCTTTTATTGAATATACAAAGATACAACAATTTTTCAGGAGGGGGGAAACGGCCAATCAGAGGGCTGCCGTTCTACACATAACGGGGAAAGTCAGGCGGTGGTGGTGGGGTTCGAACACAGAGCTCCGGGGTGATAATTTGGCGACGTTACCACCCGGCCACCATTAGTGTACTTGATAAAGATATATGACATATATGATATATATATATGATTATGTTATTTAAACGGATCGGGAAAACACATTAACAGAGGATAATCCATGAAATGAAACCATCATACTCAGACGGAAGATGAGTTTCAGTTGACTAATTTGTGATCGGAAAACTTTTCACGAGACGTTCAACCAATAAATTTTGGCAGGTCTCCAAAAGCAAATGTGGATAACCTAATCCCATGCACTGATTTTTCTATTCCGTATTATACTGAATACTTGTAAGGAATTGAGCGTAAAAGGACGTTGAAAGAGCTAGGACTGGTTGTGGCATGTGAATTGCTTAGAATTCAAAAAAAGGGAGCTTTAAATGGCCTTGCCTCTCGTTCATTCACAGAACCCGGTTGATATTGTACTGTGCACTTAGATTGCAATTTTTGTTTTTATTGAAGCGTTCACCTAAAGTTTTTTTATGGCACCAAGAGCAAAACCCTAAAGTTTTTTGTTTGTAAATTTGATCTGTCAAACGGTGTTGATTGAATCCATGGTGATCTCACAAAATGGCATCCATATTTGATGTTGTTTTCTTATTTATTAGTCGTATTTTGCAACAGACAATTCATCCAGTGAAGTTCGCAAACCGTTCCAGTGTTTACAATGAAATTGATGAAAATGTAAGTCATCCCTCCAAATGAATATCGTATTGTGTTACAGTTGAAGTCCAACTGTCTGCCGTTACTTGCACAGTGACGAACTACTTCAAACTGAAGCAAGACTACCCGATCCCCAGTTCGGAATGTTTATAATCCTCTCATTGTTGGCAACTGTCCATCCGGGCGATTAGGGGACCCCTGCTGCGCACACTAGTGACCCTGCTGGTCACGCCACGGACATCAGATGATCAACAAGTTGCCGATTCTCAGTCACGGTAGGCAGACCGGCGTTGTTGCAACTTAATGACTTAACCGCATTAAGTTATTATCAACCAAAAACCTCACTCAAGAACAATGATAATAAAAACGAACTCAGCGGCTATCCCTCGACATATAAAAATGGGGATTCATGGTCTGGCCGGTGTACCTCGGTTCTGAGTTATATCGTATCAGTTTATTGGGTATAGGCGAGACGAATCAGTAACAGCTTGTGCAACTTACGGCAAATCTGACTTTGATTAGATAAATTGAAGATATCTTTTTTTTTTGAACGTACCACTGGTCGCCTTACGCTAAGTACACTTTGCTAATTTCATTGATTTCAGAACGTCTAAGGTTTTAGATAGATTTTCTGTAGAATCTCAGTTGATTCCCTCCACAGTGTCATGTAATAACACTTGGTGCGTTTGAACCAAATTGATGTGCAAAAGCTGAACATCCGGTTGGTGGGATGTGAATTAAGCGAAAAACAGTGGCACGTTTCGTTTTTCATAAAACCATTCTTCTATTTATAGTTGACAAATACCAGGACCAAATTCACTTGGTCATGCACGCGTTCTCAGAAAGAAAATGGTTCTCCAGCAGCCCAGGAACACAAACAGGGTCATCATAATATCCTGTCAGCAGTAAAGAGGGCTTTCCACCAGCTACATTACCACGTACAATAACTGCTAACCTTCTCTCGACGAACTGCGTTTTTTTCCGGAATTCCGGCATGACAGTGATCCAGTAAATCTTTCGGTAAAATTGAGCAGTGCTGCAGTACTGCTTGTCTGCCCTGAAGAAATACCCAACTCTGTATTCACGCCTTAAAGTCCCCCGTCTCTAGCCTGTCCCAATTTGCATTATGGGCACAGTTCATAGGAATAAGTAACTTTTTTGAAAATTGGCACTTATTGGTTAACTCATCTACATTCAATCCATACTCTCGTTCCACCAGAAATTCTGAGGGCGATCTGATGCAAACTAGGCAAAAATTATTAATAAGACAAACCTCCGTTCTGATTTTGCAGTTACACGTACGAATCATAAACCGCATCATTTTGAGCTGACTTCTATTCCTG